TTACACCTTCGTCTCTAACTCTCTTCTATCGCCCCTCCAAGATTTAATCCCTCTAGAAATTACGGAACAAATCCACTTTGTTGCAGATTTATAGAGCATTTTATGTGCGCCCCAGTCTTGGTCAGGTTCAAATAAGTGCAGCAAATAATAATGGTGTTTACTGTGAGCTCCCGGATCGGTTGTAATTGTAGAAGTGAATGTTTGAGCACGATATTCGTCTTGCAGTCCATAGAACAGGAAAACGAATAGATGGGGCGACAAATGACCTTTGGCAGCTATATTACAGTCTTTGGCTGTCTTTCGTTATCAATTATGATGATGAATAAGATGTGCCTGGGCGGTAGACATAGAAAAAGTAGATTTCCTCTCCGTCCGAGTCGGACCTGACAAAGCTCGTCTCCCAACCAGGATCTAAATTGTGTCGATGGGGGAGTAAAAACATTTCCGTTTAGAATTTTAGAAATGTAGCTATTATTGTGCGACTGACTCGACATGCCGGAAAGGTCTGCACCACTGGCACAGTTCATAGAGCACTTAGCAGTGGGGTGGGACATCGCTGTTTGAATCCACAATAACAGGGGTTTCGTGTGATGTTTTATTTATTTGTTCGAGGAAGGTTGGTGAATGTGCTATCCACCAATATTGCTCCACCTGCTAGAATAAAGGCGTTAAATTGTCGAGATTCAGATTTTGAAAAAGAGAGTAAAAATACATTTAAAATGAATATTAATAGTAATAATGGTGAACTAACCCCCTCCCCCCCCCAAAAAAAAGACAAAAACAAAAAACAAATACTAAAAAAAACCCAACAACAACAAAAAAACAAAAAACGAACATCCAACGTTCTAATTCTCCATCTTCTTTTCTTTTTACCGGAATGTTACTATCTAATCTTCCGCTCATCATGACCTAATTGTGTTTATAAAGCAGTAAAATTCCCATTAAAACAAATCTCTCACGAAAGCGTGCCATATCAGATTGCTCTTTAATCTGATTGTGTTGGTTTTTTTTTAAATTTAGAATCTAGAAAATCGATTTATTTTGATTTGTGGGATTTTGAACTTTACTGTCGTGACTGATTCTTTTTTAGCCTCTTTTTTTCTCACTCCACACCCACTGGGTAATTTCACAATTAGTAATTTGGGAATCCTTTACTACTTGCGTGACCAGAATTAATTATTATGGCATCACAGGGAAGTTCAGATGTGTAGTGTGTAGCCTACTCTTTGATAATTTTATTCCAACTGTCGTCTAGTTTTTAAAATGTGTTTGAAGTAGACTTCCGCTAAGGTGCTTGTGTCGTTTCCTTTAAATGTGTCTTAGAATGAGTGTGTTTATTTGTTTGTCTCTTTGTCAGTAGGTAAACAGGCAAGTGGATCCGTGTTCGTGCACTCGCGCGTGCGTGAGTGTTGAGTATTCACGATAAGACGTAATACGCTCTCTATCTGTCTGTCTGTTCTCTCTCTCTCTCTCTCTCTCTCTCTCTCTCTCTCTCTCTCTCTCTCTCTCTCTCTCTCTCTCTCTCTCC